TGCTTGGACAAAATGCTGGCAATAAAAAAATCTGCATGATGGCCAGACAGAGTTAATGATTAAGCTAACTAAGACTAGCGATGGTAACAGTAGCTTCTGTTTGGTAATATTTTGTGTATTTGTGGCTATAATTACCTGTTAAGACCCGAGAACACAACAACAACACTACACCGACCGAGAAAGAAACATGGTCAGACAAATGACAAATTGTAAACAAGCTATCAGTTTAGCTATATGATCCAAATCCCTCATTGCACAGCAGTTCAAAACTGGACCAGGAAGTTTGTGATAAATTTGTACAATGGACAGTTAATTGGATAATAATTTCATCACTCGCCTTCATTTTCTTTTCTGTAGGAGTTTGGCTAATTTAGGGGTTTGTTAAAAACTTGCCCGATTATGTGACTGCTTGTATTTATTGCCACAATATTCGCCAGACAAGAAAGTCAATATCAATTATAAACCCAGGATTTAATTAAAAAGCCAAGATAATAGTCAATTAAATGTTGTTACTTTTGGCCTGGCTGCATAATGCACTAATGCACTCCTCGCATTAGCACTGAACGTTGGCACTGGACATAAATCGTTAGGTGTGGAATATGGACAAAATATGGACATAATTACATAAAATAATAGATTGTTCTTTGTTCTCTTTCTGACATGTTTCTAGTAATAATGCCATGTACAGCAGTCACTATCAAAAGACATTATGGCAAAAATTATGAAAATAAGATCCAAGCTGTAGGAAGAAGCCTTTAAATCATAATTACAACACGATCGGTTTCCTGCTGCTGTGACTGTTGAGCTGTGATGCAGTGCAACAGTAAAGTATGCTAACAGCAGCTTTACATGCTACAGCGGGGTTTAGCACATTATGATAAATTTGTGGTGACGAATTAACAGTCAGTTTGTCTGAACGTGGCTTCAGCTCCCATCAGCACCATTAGCAAGCATGGTTTATGAGATACACTATTTCATACACAGTGCGTTTATATGAAATGCAAACATATGTGAAATGTTACAGTCATAAAAAAAACCATTTAGTTTTATTATAACATACATTACAGTATGGCAGCAGCCCCTGCAGTTAGTACTCCCATTAAAAAGCCTCGACATCACTGACATGAATTATCAGCCAAACTCACTGTTATGATTGTTAGGGAAAGTTCTATCAAACATGTAAAATATACACTGCTCAATAAAGATCAGAGTGTGACCCAGTAGCTTTTATACAAACACAGTTTCCTATAAAAGAATAAAGTGTTGCCCTCAGTTCTTCTGCCTGAATTAGGTTTATTGAGACTCAACAGACTAAACAGCTCATACCATGCCTCTGTGTATATGCATGACACGTTTGCGACTGATATTTGAGCAAAGTAACTCCATATCATTGATCTCAGGAGATGACCCTGCTGATATGTCAGTGCCCACAGGGGAATGCAGTGAGCCCTTGCTGAATGCGTTACCTTGGGTTGAAAATCTGAGCAAACATTGTTATGTGCTGATGGTGGCCATGCTGGCGAGTAGATTTGCCCTAGGAGGGAGGTCTCCTCAGTGCACCGATTCCTTTGCATCTTTACACTTGCAGTTGTCTTTCCCCTCAGCGGTGCTCCACCAGATAGGCAGGACTTTCTGCCTGTTACATGTCAGACTACATGTAGGTGTAGAAGTTGACTATAAAAACACAGTCCTGTTCCAATTAAGGAACATAACCAATGTTGTTTACTGTTGAGCTGCCAACTACACTTATGTCATTTGTAGCCCTGCTTTAAAGGTTTTATTTTTATAAATGTCACCCCTGTACTGACTGTCAAGTTTAAATCTTTTATCTTCTTTCCCTGCACTGCAAGAAAGTTGTGCATCAAAATAAGTGACTGCTTTACATGGCAGTGGTTTGAAATGAGACGACGGTATGCTTGTGCAGCACTGACGGGAAATGCTGAGCCTCCCTGTAAGTTTCTGTTGCACGCATCATAAATACACTGCATAATGCTGGGTCAGGAGAATGGTAACTAATGCTTGAGCATCAAGGTTTCTTGTCACATTTTGTTTCTAAATAACCATGCAGGAACACTCAGGCCGGTAAACTAATGTGTGAAAGCCTACGAATAGATCAGTTTGGTCTTTTGCTGCTCAGGGTCACAAATAGATGAATTACCTGCATTATCTCTACCAAAGCAAAGAAAATACATTCTGCAAATACTAAAGCTTAAGGTTTATAGCAGCTGCACCTTTTCTCAAAGGTGATAAATCTGGGTTCACTGCACCCACCACATCCCACACTACAGGAATACATCTGCATCATTCTCATTAGCCCCCCTCAGGCATTAGGTATGGGCCAAACAAAGGATGTAGGAGATGACAGGGTGTCTTCTATGGGGAAAACCCTCCACAGGCATCAATATGTCAGCCTTGCATTAGATATATGATGGATTTAACAATCCATTGATTAGTTATGGACTGGAGTAATACTGAGTGTCATTTTGTAAGAATCTCCAGTAGCTCTGATTAACATAGTTAGTGTCTGTGGTTCTTCTTGTTCCTCCAATGTGCAATGAACACATTAGTGACTAATGAAGTCAAAATCATATCAAGAGCTGCTTGTACTTGTGTATGGAACTTCAGAACAGCTAGTATTAAAATCACTTGATCAAATTGGAATTTTGTTTGAGATTTGTGCTAAAAGTGTTTGAAAAACTGAACAAAATAAAAAGAATTACATGAATCAAACATTTCTATTTTTTAGCAAAATCATCCCTTAATTCCAACATTTTGCACTGTGACACTTCTACAGCAGAGATTTCTGACAGGTGTTTGCTCTAGTTTAAACTCAGTCATGTGAAGATGCAAATACAGGCAGCTGTAAAAGGTAAATGGTCTTATACTTGTATAGCGCCTTTCTATGCTTTTACAGCACACTCAAAGCGCTTTCACATTATTCGGCCATTCACCCATTCGCACTCACACACCGGTGACATCACCAGGAGCAACTGGGGGTTCAGTGTCTTGCTCAAGGACACTTCGACATGTTGACTGGACAAGCCAGGAATCGAACCGCTAATCCTCCAGGAAACAACCCGCTCTACCTCCTGAGCCACAGCCGCACATTTAAATTACATTTAACAGCCCAATAATAACTAGAATTATCACTTCACGGGTGCATGCCCCTGCCAACCAGTCAAATTCAAGGGAATGAACAGGCGTGAAGTTACGGACCTTGACCTTTGACCTTCGACCACTAAAATCTAGTCAGTTGATCCTTAAGTCCAAGTGGACATTTGTGTCCAAATATGATGAAATTTCTTCAATGAGTTCCTGACATTATGCGTTCACAAGAATTGGCCAGACAGATGTATGGACTGAAGGACGTTCGGACAGACAGACAGCCCAGAAACATAATGCGTCCAGCCGCGGCTATCACCAGCATGAATGCATAAGAAAAGGCTCAGATAGGGACATGCAAAGTAGTCACTGTAATCTTTTAGATGGAGCAATTTAGAGTGAAATCAGAGAACATTTAACTAGCACTAGCATGAGACAAGAATAAATCAATCTTTCTACTGAAAATGTAGCTTTACAGTATGTTATACGCTAAGGAACCTGTGTGTATTGTAATTACTTACTCGTGTGTTTATATACATTTTACAGAACAGCGACCCCTGTGGTTCAAAGTGGCCATTAAAGGCTAACTATAAATAAAAAGGTCACAGCAAACTGACTCAGTAATGTCACTTACACATCGTTGTCTATCTAAAGTTGGCTAACATTAGTTGATATTAGCTACTACTAGTTACTGGTCATACCACAGTGTAAGACTGTAGCAGAAAAACCCCTGAATGGATTGAATTGAGCAAGGGTTTGTGTTGGTGTTTTACTGCTTATTTCACCTTTTAACTGTAGCAGAGTAAGATTACAACTTGCAGATTACAAGTTCTTCTTTCACGAGTTATAAAGTCTCACTTTAATGCATAATAAATAATCAAGATCCCATGTCCAGGTTTTTAACGTATTCCTTGTAAAGAGCTTTTCTGAAAAGGAAACAGTGTGCACTTCAGTGCTATGTTTATCTATAGTGTGTGCCTGCACTGTTGGTACTCATGTTATGTGCATTTTAGGACTGAGATGTGATATTTGCATATTTCTCTCACTGGGGATTTCAGGTAAACCACCTGCTGTTATCAACAGCAACACTCCCACTTGTTATCATTAATGTACTCAAACTATAAAGGTTCATTTGGTCAGTGGGTTTAAGGTGAAAACCGGTGCATATCGTTCAGAACCACAATGCATCCCTGTAGCTGCATGTTGCTGAGTGAGAGGCAGTGGTGATGAGAAGCCCATGGTAAATCGATTGTGATGGATCAAAGTGCTGCATAGCTAGAGCCCTGCGGTGTCAGGGTGCAGGGAACAATGGTGACTTTTTACACTTCCTCCCTTCTTCTCATTATCCTCTCCTCCTATCCCAGTTCTCTTGCTTCATCTTAAAATTCCAGGTCCTTTCTGTCTTCCTGCACACTTGGTGGCATTTATTGTGCCTGTGTGTGTATGTGTGCTTGAGAGAGAGAAATGACTTGATGCTTTGTGTCATGGTGTCAGGTGGCATCAGCCGGTAGTTGATGGGAAGATAGGATGTAAGACAATCAATATCTGAGCACTGAAATTGTTCTCATTTCCAGCAGCCTTCAGCACTGTGTCCACATATCTGTTGCTGTAAAATGTGGGGAACTGTCTGACTTACAATGATAGGTTATTCATAAAATGATGCTATTGTACTGCTTTATTGTTGAAAGTTGGAGCACAGAAAATAGGCCTACCCAGTCTGACAAAAATCGACAATTTCACTTACAGCCAGGACTGGTGTTGTGAATTTAACAGTATTACTGCTTTTTGGTGCAAAACGGCAAATGCTGTTTTTTTTTTCCAATGTGATTGTATTTATTGTTATGTTACCATATATGTATCACAAACTAAAAAAATAACCACTTGGTTCTGTTTTCTAGGAGAAAAACACTGGCCGGTCCGCTCCCAGAGTCACCATGGTAGGGATGGCTGTTCCTTGTTAATGGGTCAAAGTTGCCTCTAACCACATATTTATTTCTGTATTTCTCTTATGAACCTTTTAATGATTAAGAGTGTAAACTATAGTAACATCTGGTTCCTTATCAATGTTTAGAGGCAACTTATACCTGGAGTGTTACTTGTAGTGCAGTGGCTTCCTGTTGACTTCTATCTATATAGGATACCTAACCTGTGTATTTATCCCTTGACATTTAGCTTTCCTGTCTGTATGAGAACATGTGTGCAGTGTGGTTTGTGTGTGCTGGTCTGAGGGGTGTAATGGTACAAAAATTTGATTTGGTAAAAATTGTCCATTAAGACATGTTAATAGCATATTTATAATTAATTTAAAGGAAAAAGTTTTAACAAAACAATCACAGTAACAGAAATTAGTGTTCTTATATCTAAGTGTCAAGTACTGAGCTGAAGCCAGGAGGTTAGCCTAGCTTAGCATAAGGAAAGAAAGCGTGAGGAAACAGTTAGCCTGGCTCTGTCCAAAGTGCAAAGGTAAACCATATAAATAATTAGTCATACGTTTATAATCTGTACACAAACAGTGTAAAAGCACTTTGAGGTTTTATGGGAAGTTATGTGCTAGAACGGCCATGAGCAGTGAATCTAGGTTTCCAGGCAAGTGTTAAGCAGATTAATGTCCGGCAAAGGTCGTAGTATGCTGAAAAAAACGTAGAAGAAATCATCTGAACGTAGTTTTAAAACTATGTTTTTTCAGCATTAAGCAGATTAATATTCTTTGTCAAGAAATTATTACACTCCTTAAATCCCTGTAGTTTTTATCTCTAGTCCTGAAGATCCATCCTTTGACAATATTTGTAACCTTCAGCTTCATTTCAACAGGTGAGCACAAAGTTCACTGCAAACAGTTTAAGTTAGCATGTTTAATTGTATTGGTTTCCAGACACAGTGTCACTCAATTTCATAATTCATTTCCGTTTTGATTTCATGGGTCGACGCAGAGTTTTGGTCCGATCCACCACTCTTTGTCTAGTATCACTGTATTTTATAGGGATACCATAACACTTATGAACAACACTTCTGTTGTTACTAGAGCCTGTAGCCAGGGAAGCCAGCTAGCATATGCTCTAGCTAACAACTGTCTCTCTGTCAAAGCTCACAGGACTGTCATTCTTTGGAATTTTTGTAATCCATGTACTACAACAGAGCAAATTAGGCAGTAGTAAGATAACTCTGTGTTAAACTGAACCAAAAGACAGTTCCCAAATAGACATTCAGGCAAATACATGTACCATTACACACCTGGTTCTGTTAAAAATAAATGGTGTGGTGATGTGGGCTTGCATACAAGTAAACATTGTAAAGAGGCTATTTTAATTGCATAGTGTTTGATTTCAGTTAAAAAGTCCAATCATTGAGTACAGTTTTTGCCTCATTAACGAAAACCCTAACCAAACTAGGGCATAGCTTATGTAAACAAGCATATTGTGTACCTCTTGATGTTTGTTGCAGCCGGCCCACCTTGTTTCTTTCTTTTCTTTTTTCACTGTGTTGTGCCTTAAAACCCAGTTGGTCCCATTTCATTCCTCTGTACTAATTCCTTCCCTTTGAAATAAATGTTTTCAGTTGTTTCACTGAAGCTTTTTCTATGTTGTCCACTGTAAAAAAACGAATGTCCTAACCTCTATGGTGTATGTGGTCTTCGACTCTGTCCGTCTTAGTGGAGAGGAGGGCTGGTCTATAAAGGCATGGATAAAGGCAGTTTTGATGATGTTACTTCTTTTATTTTAAGAAGACATCAGAAAAATCTGTGCTTATCCTTGTTTACGATATACGGACCCTCCTCTTCCTCGCCCTCCACCTCCTCTCAAAGGAAGTCTACTTTTCAACAGCCCGCACATGGAGTCCACTGGTATGTCAATCAACTGTTGAGAGAAATGGCTTTTTGATAAGAGTGTTATTCCTACTATGTGACATCAGGTGAAATTGCCGTTCTGTTACACTGTTGATTTTCAGGAAAGATTATTACCTTTAAACCCAGTGAGTCACCTCAGCTTTGTAGTAAGAGAACAGAGGGAAACCAGACAAGCTCTGTTGGAACATCATGAAGCACTACTTCAATAAAATGGATCTCTTATTGCCTTTTAAACACACCAGGTCACAATAGTCCTCGGTGGGTTCACTGTCTATCACATTTCAAAATGAATTGGATATGAGGTTCATCTCAGTCATCTGCGCTTCCCCATCCCTGCTGGGATTATCATGGCACATTTGTCAAACTGGAGAGGCTGTGACATGTCAAGTAAGTACTTGGCCTTTGGTGTCTTGGGGGTGATTGGGAGTTATAAGATAAAGAGTGATACTTACTGGAAATGTAGACTGAAACAGTCTGGACTGGGATTTCACTGCACTTGGAAGAACACAGGAACTTTGTAATCTGCAGCTTCACTGATTCTCATTAATGAAGTTATCTCTGAATACATAATGATAGAGAGTTTTAGTGCAGCTATTAATTTCAACCAAATCAAAAAGTCTGTTAATTGGTTTTTACTCACTAGCAGACATAAGATATAGAGTAACTGAAAAGCCTAGTGTGGATTTGGAGATTTTAGGTATACAATCGATTATAAGAGAAATACAAAATCTAGAATCTGATACATATTAATGTCATGGTGAGATGATACAGGCCGCAAATCTGAATTTTTCAAATTCAGATTTGCTTGATTGGCATATCAAACACAGTCACACCAAGGCACGGGCTGTTTTATATCTGTTGATGAAGTGTTACATTTCTGTGGGTAGCATCCCTTTTGTTTTTTGCTTCTTCTTTTTTTTCAGGATAAGTCCATGTTCTTAACTCCAAACTCTGGCTCCCACTAGCCACTCAATTAAGCATGACCAGTGGAAGCTAAAATTAGCAGAACTACAAGTGCTACCTGTATAAATATAACTTAAAAACAGTATCGCACGTCCTGCAGTTGGGTCAGTAAAGCCTCCCATTCTGCCAGTGAAATCAATGAGGAGGTGGGAGGAGCTACTTCTATCCAGGCGCCTAAAGCTTTGTCCCCTACTAATTGAGTGAAGTGGGGCTATCATGGCAGTTAACATTTAGCGATTAAATGTGAATACTCTTTGTCAGTTGTTAAATGTCAAGCCCATGGTGGCTTCCCTTTCCTCTGCTTCCTTTGCTGTGAGCCGAGGGCAGGGACATGCTGATAGCACCAGGCTGTCAGAGGAGCCAGTGGGACAGAGACATCCACATTCATACCTGTCACACACTTTCTGCACACATATGCTAAACACACACATGCATATTGCACTCAGTACCCCCTCAACAGCCACCGCCACCTCCTCGGGGCCTTTCATAACTTCAGCAGCTTCACTTGGCAGAGCTAATGGGATGGCAGGGCTGTTGGTTTTAGAGAGGGATGTCATGAGGAGAGTGGAGCAGAGAGCTGAGGATGGCTCTCTAATAGATCTGAGGTGGGTGAAGGGCTGCCGTGTGATCACTGGCCCGTGTTGCTGTTTCTCTGCTCTTTTCATCCAAGTGACCTACCAAATCCTCCTTTTTCATACGTTTCCTTCTGTTATCTGCTGCTATCCTGTGTCCACTCCCCAACCCCTTGATTGCTCGTCTCTGTGAGTCGTCCCCCTCCTCTTTGTTGTTGAGAGAAGCTAAGCCTTAAGGCTTATTATTAAGTTGTGTCTGTCTGTCTCTACTGTTAATGTTTTGAATTCTGTCTCTGTTCGTGACCATGATTTCTACAATATCTAACAGTCTGCATTTTCAAAACAGGGGAAGAATTTTGTGCTCATATGTTTCTATTCACATCAGGTGCATATAGTATTTTGTGCTGCAGGATTTCATGTTTAAAAATCAAACTCAAAGTCCAAGTACAAAGCTAATAGCCTAAGATTCGAAAGGAATAAGGGAACAGATGAGTGACACAAGACAAGAAAAACAACATCATGCAGATCATCTGAAACACCCCTCTGATGTGAGGTGAGGTCAATGGTCCAAAAGTAAACATCTTTATGTCCAGTTTAACAGATATTGCATTGCGCTCCTCTCAGTGATAGAAAGCTTTTTGGCCTTACCTTGTCATGTGGCCAGCCAGAACATCTAGACACAGTTTAGCCTTTAGAATGGGCTCTAACTAATTTCTCTTTGGTGTTCAATAACACTGTGATTGTAAAAGGCCATGCACATGGTGGTGTTCTGTAAAATCTTGTATTATATATTTAATATTTAGTGCCAATATTTAAATAAATTCTCACACAGTTTGTGCACTTGGTAAATATGGTATGGCTAAGGTTAAGACAAGTAAACAATGGACAAAAATTAAGCAACTAAAACACTTAATTAAGCTTTGGGGAAGTCTATGGTTAGGGTTAACATGTAAATCCTTAGGTTTGGAATTGTCCATTAGGTTCATAATCCTGTGGTATAATAGGCTGGTATGGAAGAATCTGCATTCCTAAATGTTTCTTCTATCATTAATTAATGTTGCTTCACTTGTCCTTACAGGTTGCTTGTATGTGGTCCAAATGTTTGGCACAGTGCTTGGGTCTGACATTAGGAAGCTCACCTCTGAGGGCTGCACAGTTGTTTGGGCCAACACTTTGATGACTTTGTTTGTCAGTTAGCTATTTCCTTATTTCATGCTCTCACATACTACATGACTGTTTGGAAGTGCTCCATTCAAATCATCTATTGTCCAAGCATGACTGCTTACTATTCATTGAAAAAGAAGGTTCTACAAATGCTTATTTAACCATGGCAGGGGTTTCAAGGTGATACATGGTCTGGTCAGCACGCCTTCTCTTGGCTCCCCTGAGTGCTGGATTTGGATGTGATGTTTGGAAATGTGATGTGAAACAAAATGCCACACCAAATGTCAGATTACTGAGTCACTTGTGTGCCATCTGGATGTAATTATGCAAACTCGCCAAGGAGGTATTCTCCAGAGATCAGTTACAAGCGAAGGGAAATTTAATGTGAGTAATC